CGGGCATCTGGGCAAGGGGCAGCTTTCCTTTTCTTCTCTCCTGTTCTCCTGTATAATGGGTGCGTATTATACATAGGAGTTCGGATGTTTCATGATTTTAAGAGTCTAAACTCAGGGTGCACACTATACATAGGTGCGCATTATACTCGAGATTTTACGGTACACATCTCAGGAAAACCTCAGCCCTTTTGGCCATAGCACTGCACTGGATGCTCATGTTCAGCTGATTATCCACCATGATCCCCAAACCTTTTCCAGAGACACTGCTTCCAGGATAGAGTCCCCACCTTTAAGGAGAGTCTGCATTCTGTGATCCCACAGGCATACATTTGCATTTCACTGTATTAAAATGCGCAGTGTTGGCTAGCTTGTTGGAGCTTGTGTGATGATCATGTTGAGCTAGTAATGCAGCTGCGGAGCAACAGCTCAATTTCAACCACTCAGCAGCTAACCCACTCTCTCGTCTAATCCAATTACTCATGCTGCTAATCACTGAATCACAGAAACGAGGACTGCAACTGTCCTCAAGAGTTCATCAAATCCAGCCCCCGCACTGTGGCAAGACCAAACTAACAGACCATCCCTGACAGGTGCTTCTCTAACCTGTTCATAAAGACCTTCAAGGATGGGATTCCATAATCTCCACTGGAAGCCGACTTCAGAATGTGATGACCTTTCTAGTTAGGGCAGGTCTGCAGTTGTGCTGCTGCAATGCTTTAGTGAAGACACTAAGCCAGTGGGACAGCTTCATGAAAGTTCAGCAGTTACACATCTACCCGTGCGAGCAGGGTGCCGGCTTTTAAGTTAGCACTTGCAAGCACCAGCTCCCTCCCCTGTGCTGCTGCTTCTGTATCAGAGGCAGCAGCGTGGAGGGGCAGGCAGCTCCACGGGAACTGCTATGCATGGGGAGCTGATTTAAGATCCGGCTCCCCATGAATACCGGCTCTCACCTAACCTTCTGCGCTGCTGAGGCAGCTCCTTGTGCTCTGTGGCTTCTGCCTGCCCTCCCTGTGCTGCTGCCTCTGATACAGAGGCAGCAGCGTGGGAGGGGGAGAGGGTCTGTGTGTAACCATGCACTTACTGGTCTTTGGGCCCCTCACTGCTTCCAGGCATGGCCTCCCGCTGCACCCCTTAGGTGGATTCTGGCCAATGGGAGCACAGGGAAAGGCTCCAGACAGCACACTTGCGCTCTGCTGCTTCCCCAGCTCTGGAGGGGCAGCGCTTCTTCCCCACATAGCAAGGCTTGGGGCTTTCTCTCCACGCCCACCCCCACAGCAGGAAGGCAGCACTAGTGCTCCAACCATGCAGGGGAGGGCGAGGCTGCAGCGCCAGGCAAAGGGGGCCTGGGCCGCTTAGATCAGTGCTGCCGGATGCCTCCTCGCCTGCCTTGCAGAAGCGCCACTCGCTGCTCCAGCCCCGCACATGGGCTGGGGGTGGGTCTCACCGGGGCGGCTCAGTGCTGGGCTCAGGACGTGGTCACTCAGGTGCAGTGGAGGCTGGGGTGGCTGGTCGCTTCTGGTGCTTCTCTGAGACCCGGGCTTCACACCAGCCAAAGCAGCCCCTGGGCTAGGGGACGGACCGCCTGAAAGACTGCAGCCAGGACTGAGTGGGCAAGACCCTTGGGAGGCAGCATCTGCCCAGGCTGGGCTGCCAGGTGGCTTGGCCGGTCCCTAAACAGTACCCAGGGCAGGGAGCCCGTGCGTGGGGAGGGCCTGTGGGATGCAGAGTGACATGATGACATCACTCTGTCATCTCACAGGAAAAGTTTTTTTTATAGAGAGAGAGAGTAGCTCTCCTTCCCCACTAAGTAAAGGGCATTTATATTCTGTGCTCTCTTGCTCCTAGTGCACTTAATGAAATCACTAACTCCAGCATCCTTTTGAAACTTCAATTTTTATTTTGAAGTTTGATCACTCACTCTAGCTAGAGTAGCTCAAGCAAAGTACTATCTGGGCTTTTTGAAGGAGTGGGGGGGAAGGGAGGGAAAAGAATCAAAGAAAGGACCCAGTGTTTACCACTATTGAGCTATTAAAATGCCAACCACTAGATGAATCATTTAGTTAGTGTGATCTAATAGAAGATGCAAGAATGACTAACTGCATTTCTTTGGAAGCTTGTTTATTAGTATTATTACAACGATTAGTCTTCATTTAACTGCAAAAGAATGCTGCAAACGTTCTGTATATAACGCAGGGTTTGCATGGTCAGAAGAAGTTTTGACATGAATTGCACTTGACAATACAGTTATTTAGTTAAAAAGTCGTTCCTCGGGATATTGTTTGCAACACTTTATCTAGCCAGCTATAGGTGTGTACTTCTGTGAATTAGAAACAACCACTTCTAAATTCTCTGGCAACACTGATCTATTCTATTGCCATAAAATATATTTCATTCTCTCCCTTTTTTCCCCTCTCATGCAAAACACACATATGGGCAACTCAGGTGAAAACTGATACAAAAATTGTTGTTAAAAACTTGTAATTTCTGAGCCTTCCCCTCAACACAACATTCAGTTTCCTAGGCTGCGACTCTGTCCAAACAACCTGCCTCAGAACCGCCTTCCCCAGAAGTACGCCAGAGAAGTAGACAGTTTGTAACTGGCTCCAGCAACTGAGAAGTTGGAGAGGGTTCAGAGAAAAGTCACAAGAACGCTCAAAGAACAAGAAACACTGACTGATGTATAGTGATAGGCTCAAAGAGCTCACAGTCTGTTTAGCTCAAAGTAAAGGTTATGGGAGGAGTTGGTAAGAATCTAAGTATCTACACAAGGAACAGAAAGGTCTCACACAATCCAATGGGTGGAAGTTGAAAAAGTAGACAAATTCAGACCAGAAATAAGCTGTAAATTAACAATGAAAATAATTTCTCTCCCTGTTAAAACAAATTACCCAGGGTTCTGGTGAATTCTCTACCCCTGAGAATTCTTAAATCAATATTGGATGAACTCTTTTCACATTTTAAGACAATCACTGCAACGATATGGGTTTAAAAATATTTTGAAATGAAAGCTGAGATTCTGGAGCACAATTATCCATCAAGGGCTGAATTCTGAGGCAAATTCCATGCCTCTGAAATCATGAAATATGTGGGACTCTTCTCAAATGACCCCTCATTACTGAGCACCTTCTAATTGCATTAAAACATGCAACAAAAAAATAGTTTGACACAATCAACTCTGGATTAAACAAAGACTGTGAATGGCTTGCTAACTACAAAAGCAGCTTCTGTTCCCTTGGAATTCACACCTCCAGATCAGCTGCTAGAAGTGGGCCTCATCCTCCTTGATTGGATCACCTCATCATCTCCAGCCTGATCCTGGCCTGCATATTTATTCCTGCCTCTGGAAATTTCCACTACATGCATCTGACGAAGTGGGTCTTTGCCCACGAAAGCTTATGCTCCTACACTTCAGTTAGTCTATAAGGTGCCACAGGACTCCTCGTCGCTTTAACAAAAAAATAAACGTTCCCCTTTCTCTGTGTGTGAGGATCACTTGAAAGGTAACAGGTCGGAGACAGACTATCTAATATGAGATGGGGTTTGCACTTCGTTCTGAATGCGGCAATACTCTATTAAACCATTTGTTGTCAATAGCAATCCAATAAATCCTCTTTAAGCAAATTTGGAGTGGTGATGAGCTTCTCCTTACAAACAGCCCATTCACATGTGTCCCAGAAGTATCCATGTTAGTTTGCCTCCTCTTCCAAATATACATGAGATCATTTGAAGAGGGGGTAAGTTACCATAGGCTCCAATTCCAAACCTATGCAAATTATACCCCGCTGAACACCTAGTTTTCCAAAGAGGCAACCAATGCCATCATCAGAATATCACAATGCCTACAACAAATAGGCAACATCTGACATTGCTGATCATGGGATTCTGCTGTCTTGCCTGGGAGATGACATGGGTCCAGGATAATGAACTAAAATGGTCTGAGTCCTTCCTGGAGGGATGAACCCAGTGAGTAATAATGGGGAACCACAGCTTCATCACTAGTCCCCTTGTAAATTTTCACAAGATTCAATTTTCAATCTGCTCCTTTTCGGTATTTACATGAAACCACCAGCTGAACTGGTCAGATAACATGGACTCAAACAGCAGCAATACACAGCTGACCGAGTTCTAGCTATCCTTCACCACATCACTAAAACCAAGAGTGCCCAGTGCTTGGAGATGAACCACTCTTGGGTAAAGAACAGCTTGCTGAAGCTGAACACAAACAATCCAGGGGTGTGGATGGTGGGTAGAAAAAAGTATTTTGAAGAGCCTTCAGCCCCAGTGCAGTCTCTGCTAGCTGAAGAGAGACCCACAATTAGCCCATAGTCTAGAACAGTGGTTTTCCAACTTTTTTTTCTCATGAACAGTTGAAGAAAATTGTTGATGCCCATGACTCCCCGCTAGCAGCTGTGGGGAAGCCACAAGCCCTTTAAATAGAAGCAGTTGAAAGGGCTTGTGCGTCCCAGGCAACGCATTGGGGGCGGGCTGGGAACTGCCGCACGGGCCAGATAAAAGAGCTAGGCGCTTACAGGTGCTTGCCCATCCCTGTAGTAGTGTCTTCATCACTGGAAGTTTTAAAATCAAGATTGGAAGCTTTCCTAAAAGAGACTTTCTAGTTCAGAGAGTTCAGGGGAGTCTTACAGGAGGTGCTATACAGAGATCAGATCAGTTTAGCACAGGGGTACCTCCTGGCTTTATCACCTAGGAGTCAGATTTACAGAATTTAAGGCCAGATTTACAGAATTTAAGGCATACCTAGACTGAGCTCCTGTGTATCACAGGCCTCCAAAGGGTGGCAAAGGAGCTGGGCTTCACACCTAGATGTTCTGGCAACTAAACTGCACATGTAGAGCCCTCCCCAGCACCACCACTCTCATTTTCTTATATACCTCTAGGTACAAGATGCCAAGTACATTTTTCGAGTGCTGAATACTGTGGTGCCTTGTACAGTTGTAAGTATTTATTATAAAACAAAAAAGAAGAACGGTAAATATTCATACCTTCCGTAGAAATCTTGTTTCAAAAATGAAATCTTCTCCACAAACAGAGAAACATTTGGATTACAGTTCCTGGGGTGTATTCATCTTTAAAAAAAACAAACCAAAAAAAAACCCCACTTTCTTTCAGTGTGAAGTTTCTCTCCCGTCTCTTTTTCCTGGGAATTAAAGAAAAAGAAAATATTGTTACTATTCACCAAGGAAAGTCACTGAAAGGCTACTCTGGCATGAAGTACTTTTACTTGTTACCTCTCCTACAGGAAAATTGTAAGTCAAAGTGGAAACTTATTGTAGAGGCCAACATTTTGTTTGGTAAAATCATGATCACATATGAATATACTCTCTTCTATCATGCAGGCTTACAGCTTTACCACTTTTTACTGTAGACAAATATGAACATTTATTCTGGTTTCTGGAAACACAAGGGTTAACAGTCCCTCCCCTCTGTAGTCCTTAGAAATAGTTTGTGAAATACCTACTTCATTCAAGAACACACTTTGTTTTCCTGACATCACTTTAAAAGAAAGTTCTAAGTTGTCAAGGAAACCAAAAGGTCATTTCCCCTTGTTCCAAGAATAATTACAACAGAACACATGTATTACATATTCAGTTTGAGGCCCCTATTAGTTTGAAGCGACAAGACGACACTGGAGCCCAGAGCTGAATATATAATACATTGAAAAGGAGACTCAGACTGAGGAAAACTATGAAAGAAATGTACTTTGCTTAGCTTCCCTTTGCTTTTAGTGAAGTGGTGTTTTAAAAAGATATTTTTATGCACAAATTCACAAATTTTAATAATTCTCTATGGTCTCCAAGTCATTAATGACAATTAACACAGGTGTTTACTAGACGTCACACTGGAAGTATCATATGTTTAAACTTTGATATCTCATTTGTAAAACAGCACAAGCCAAACACAGGGGAGTCAGGAGAATAAGTGAAACTGAACTAGGAATGTTAAATTTCGATAAAATCAGCTAATTGAGTAGTCGATGGAAATCCCACTGCGCCTCTGCCTTTGAAACGTACAAGAGCCGCCCATGGCTCCTGTACATTTCAAAGGAAGATGCACAGCCCCCAGAAGCAGGCTGCTGTGCCTCTCCCTTTGAAACGTACAAGAGATGCAGGCGGCTGTTGCACATTTAAAAGGGAGAGACATAGCTTCTATGTGAGCAGGGACTGCTTTGGGCCCCACTTCTGCCGTTTCCCCACTGCGCCTCTGCCTCCCCTGCTCCCCCATGGAGACGGTACTGGGGGAAAACAGGTTTTTAAGCCAGCTCCCCCCACCACTGACTCTTGTCCTACCCCTTGTTGCCTCTGATACACTTCCTCCTCTTCCCCCCCGCTGCTTCTGTGACTAGTTGAGTAGTAATTCGACTACTCGATAAGCCTAGGCTTATTGGGTAGTAGACTATTTTGCTTACATCCCTAAACCGAACGGATCAATATAAGGTTTGCAATCAAGGCTGCACCATCCCCTACATTTTGTTATGCTTTCTTGCTGCTGTTACACCACCAGCAACTTGTCTTGCTAAACACTGGCCTCATGGGAGAGGCAAAAGTATTTTTAAAAATGAGTAGTCATATGGCATCTTAGAGACTAACAAAAATATATATATGGCCAAAACCCACTTCTGCAGATGAGCTTGAGTGAGTACGTACGGAGAGACAGAGACAGAGAGAGACAGAGAGAGAGAGATATGTGTTAAGCTCTAAGGTGCCACAGGACAACTTGTCATTTTTTAACATACAGACTAACACGGTTACTCCTCTGAGACTTTTAAAAAAAGTATTTTTGGCAAGGGAGGTGATCTGATAACAGCAGTTAAAAATATACACATTTGAAGACAGGAGTCCAAAAGCTGATGAGAGGGTAACACACCACACAACATGGGAAAATGAGATTATGACTCTAGGTTGTTCCTGACTCCAAAGTCAAACAGATTTGGAAATATGGCAAAGGCCAGGAGTCAGTGAGAACAACCTGCCCAAAGTCATTCTGACCTCATCTGGAATCAAACCTACAAGCTCTGAGGGGAGCTATAACCAGTCCTTCCAGGCAGAGGTATACTGTCAGTAGGATGGTTCAGGACGGTTGCCTCAGGCGGCTCCACTGCAGCTCTTTCAACCATCCTATGGATGGGACCCGTGGGGTTCAGAACAGCCTGGGAGATTGCTGGGGGCCTAGCATGGGGTGGAAGGAGCCCCCCCTACCCCCCACCCCGTCCCTCAACACAGCAGCAGGAGTCAGAGTGACCCTGCAGCCTGGTCTGCTTCACAATGGCGGCAGAAAGCGGAGTACCCTCGCTCCAGCATCCTGCTGCCACGGTGAAGCGGTGCACAACGGGCTGGGAGATGGGTGTCAGGGCAAACTGACAAGGTCGCTCCGGCTCCCAGTCCCCCAATCTGAAACACATACTCATCACCAGCCACATACTCCACAACATAAACACAAACCCAGGAACCAATCCCTGCAACAAGTCCCATTGCCAGCTCTGTGCACGCATCTACCCTAGCGACACCATCACAGGTCCTAACCACAGCAGCCAGACTATCAAAGTCTCATTCACCTGCACAGCTATTAGTGTGATCTATGTCACCACATGCCAGCAATGCCCCTCTGCCATGTACATTGGACAAAACAGACTGTCTCTGCGAAACAAAATAAAATGACACAACTCACATATCAAGAATAGTAGCATAAAAGAAAACAGTGGGAGAACATTTTAATCTCCCTGGATACAATTACACACTTGAAATTTGCCATCCTCAAGCAAAAATCTTCAAAACCAGACTACAATGTGAAACTGCTGAGATGGAATTCATATACAAATTTGACACCATCAGAATGGTTTGAATAGGGGCTGGGAATACTCTCATTACAAAAAATGGTATTTCACTTTAGGTATTCTCACCTTGTCCACATCCACCCTGATTAAATTAGCTCTGCTGGAACACTCCCACCTCTGTACCTCTACTATCTGTCTCTTTTTTTCACTTCATGAATCTGACCAAGTGAGTCACAACTCACAAAAGTTTATGCCATAATAAAATTATTAGTCTTTGAGGTGTCAAGGACTCCTTGTTATATCTGATGAAGCAGACTAACACAGCTGCCTTTCTGACACAAGACAAAAGGTTTAGAAGACCTTATCTATGACAGAAGCTTTAAAAAAATGGGCATGTTTAGTCTTGAGAAAAGACGACTTAGGAGGGGTCCTTATAACAGTTTACAAGTTAAAGATTGTTATAAGGAGGACAATGATCAATTGTTCTCCATGTCTTTTGAAGGCAGGACAAGACGCAATGGGCTTAATCTGCAGCAGTAGATTTGGATTAAATATTCTAACCATAAAGATAGGCAAGTATTGGAATAGGCTTCCAAGGGAGGTTGTGGAATCCCCAACAGGGAAGGTTTTTAACAATAGGTCACAAAAACACCTCTCCGAAAGGAGATAGGTTTACTTGATCCTGCCTCAGCATAGAGAACTGAACTAGCTGACCTGTTAATATCCCTTTTAGCCCTACATATCTACATAAGAACAGCCAGACTGGGTCAGACCAAAGGTCCATCTAGCCCAGTGTCCTGTCTGCCCACAGTGGCCAATGCCAAATGCCCCAGAGGGAGTGAACGGAACAGGGAATCATCCAGTGATCCCTCCCCTGTCATTCATTCCCAGTCTCTGACAAACAGGCTAGGGACACCATTCCTACCCATCCTGGCTAATAGCCATTGATGGACCTAACCTCCATGAATCTATCGAACTCTGTTTTGAACCTTGTTAAAGTTCTATAGCCCCTTCTCCGCATCCTCTGGCAAGGAGTTAAGAAAAACTTCCTTTTGTTTGTTTTCAACCTGCTACCTACTAATTTCATCTGGGGAGCCCTAATTCTTATGTTATAGGAGCAAGGACATAACTTTTCCTTATTCACTTTCTCCATGCGTGTCATGATTTTATAGACCTCTAGCATATCCCCCCCTTTGTCTACTCTTTTCTAAATTGAAAAGTCCCAGTCTTTTTAATCTCCCCTCACAGACTCTTCTTGGAGTCTATGATTCTATCATTGTTTCACTATAAGTTAGCAGCTTGTGCAAGCATAAAAAATTTACTTCAGGCAAAGATTTTTTTGGACTCCATCTCCCACAAATTCCTTTCAAATAAACTACTTGATGACTTGTGCAGAAAGAGCAAAATTGTTCTCACTGCTTCTTACAGAAATTCAACTAGGCATCTTGCCCGGGTCTGCACTTTTAGGGAATTCGCACATCACTGATAGTGTCTGTGCAGTGGTACTAGCTAAGACCAGTAGTAGGCACGTTTACCAAAGTGTCAACTAGGGACATAAGTGACTAGTAGAGTGATTTCTTGACTAGTTGCCTCCCTCCCCCCAAAGCAGGGTGGGAAGCATGAGCTGGTGCTGGGGGAGGCTGGCTTAAAAGCCAATTCCCCCCAGCAAGGTCTCTGCGATGCAGGAGAGGGGCAGGGGAGGCAGAGTCGCTTCCGGGAGCTAACCCCGCTGTGACTCTGCACTTTAAAAACCCAGCGGGCTCTTATTATATTTAATAGTTGCAGGGGCGACATGGTTGCAGGGGCAGCCTTGAATATTCCCAGCTCATGCCATCCCTGGGAGCTAACCCTGCTGCGGGATTAGCTAACAGCACCATCCCCGGGAGCTAACCCCGCTGAACTGACCTGGCTCATGCCGCCCCCAAAACCGCTGCGGCTCTGCACTTTAAATGTAGTAAAAGTCTGCCGGGCTCTTAGTACATTTAAAGTGTAGAGCGGCAGCAGGCGTGCCCCCCCATCAACTAATCGAGTAGTCGATGGAAATTACATCAACTACTCGCTTAGTTACTTAACTGATACTTAACTTCCCTAGTGTCAACTAACCCTGCTCAATGGAGATCTAGGTGAAATCATGGTAAAAATGTCAGGAAGCTTATCTACCACCAGACTGCTGTAACCAGGAAGGTACACTCAGATTAGAACAGCAAGAAACGTATTCTATAATTCTCAGTGCAGACACAGCCTTGGTGCAACCAGGAATCTATCAGACTTTTCATAAAAAGTGAAGATAAAACATTCATCTTTGACTGCTCTCCCAGCCAAATCGTTCTGAATCCTTGTCGTACAGGGATGGGAAGAACCTGTACGTTCCTATACCTATACTCATTCTCAACAAACTGTCATTTTCCCAATGCAGAAAGGGTTTTTAATTGTTCTAGCCATTGTGATAAACATGCAGCTTTTATTTACACATGGA